CGGGGGTGGCGGCGCGGACCCCGGGCAGGAACGGAGCCGGGCCCGAAGTTGGGTTGGCGCGGAACGGAGCGAAGGCCGAAGGTGACTGCGGGGCGGCGAGAGGGGCAGCCCCGGGGCCGGGGCAGCCCTTAGGCTGTGGGCACTAATGGCGGCGGGTGTGGTAGGACGGGGGCCTGGCCCTGCTGCAGGCTCTGTCCAGATGAGGTTCGAGTCTGGACGCCGCCCGTTGACCTCGGACGGGCCGCTGCCCTCTTTAGGCCTCAGTGTCTCGGTCTTTAAGTATGCCCCAAATAGAGGATCGGGGAGGCCTAGCCGCCCCCAGCACCCCGTAGGGCGGCAAGCGTGCGTCTCGCCTACACTCCCTTAAATGGCAGTGCCGTGCTACCTGCGGGTCTCCAGTCAGGAGGTGTGGCGAGTCCTGTGCCAGTTCACACTTCAGCTGTTCCGTTTACTACAGGCGTGACCTTGGGCAAGTCCCTTTTCTCAGAGTTTCAATTTCCTTGTTTGTAAGCAGTGAAAGGAATACTAACAATAGCGATTTGACCTCAGGCATTTTATTCTAAAGACAGATCTAGACAGGATCAGTTGTTATCCCATTGTAAAGATGAAGCAACTGAGGCACAGACGTTAAGTCTTGCCCACGGCCACACAGTTGAACGCGGTGCCTGGCACGCTCTTAGGACCCAGCACTTGATATTTACTTTCTCAAACCTCCTCTGACTCAGTTCCCTCACAACAGGATGGAACCAAATGAGGAGCTGGAAGAGGAGGACTCCCCAGGTGGCCGTGAGGATGGCTTCACTGCTGAGCACCTGGCTGCCGAGGCCATGGCAGCCGACATGGACCCCTGGCTGGTATTTGACGCCCGAACTACACCTGCCTCAGAGCTGGATGCCTGGTTGGCCAAGTACCCACCATCTCAAGTTACTCGCTATGGGGACCCAGGTTCACCCAACTCTGAACCTGTGGGTTGGATTGCAGCCTATGGGCAGGGTTACACCCCCAACTCAGGGGATGTTCAAGGGCTGCAGGCAGCCTGGGAGGCGCTGCAGACCAGTGGGCGGCCCATCACACCGGGTACCCTGCGCCAGCTGGCCATCACCCACCATGTGCTCTCTGGCAAGTGGCTGATTCACCTGGCACCTGGCTTTAAGCTGGACCATGCCTGGGCTGGCATTGCCAGGGCTGTAGTTGAAGGCCGTCTTCAGGTGGCCAAGGTGAGCCCACGGGCCAAGGAGGGTGGGCGCCAGGTCATCTGTGTTTACACGGACGACTTCACGGACCGCTTGGGTGTGCTGGAGGCAGACTCTGCCATCCGTGCTGCCGGCATTAAGTGCTTGCTCACTTACAAACCTGATGTCTACACCTACCTGGGCATCTACCGAGCCAACCGCTGGCACCTTTGCCCCACTCTCTATGAGAGCCGTTTCCAGCTTGGAGGCAATGCCCGTGGCTCTCGAGTGCTGGACCGTGCCAACAATGTAGAACTGACCTAGAGGGGCCACGTGGGAGAGACCACCTTTTGCGCCCCTGCCGGGGATGGATCCTTCTTTCTTTTCTTCCTTGTCCCGAGAAGGCCAAGCTCCCTAGCTCTGAGGACTAATTGACTTGGGAACTGTCTGTACTCAGTCCCTTTGAACATCTCTCTCTGCTGGGTTGACTCCAGCCCCCACAGGCTGGGGGCTTCGGCTCCCTGAGGGCCGGGCCCTCAGCTGCCCTCTTTGATGCTGCTCCCTGCCACTGCCCAGGACCACAGCTTGGGTGCAGATACTCAAGAAAGCCTGCCCTGGCCACCTCTGTCCCTACTATACTCACCCTGCATCTCCCTCTCCTCTCCTCCCTCCTAAGGGAGAACACTTAGTGCTTCCAGTCCCTGCCCTTGGAGCCATCCTAGCCCCGGTGGCAGGGACCTACAAGGACTGAGCATGCTGTTGGGGCCCATATACTCGGGCCAAGAGAGGATGCAGGGTCATGGACGTAGGGCCTGCTCCTCCCTGCAAACTCATAGCCTGCATCACCAACATCCCTTCCCTGACTACCTTGACATGTGCCTGCTCCTGGCATTTCAATAAAACCCAGCTTGGGTCTGTGTCTTGACTGTTTTTAAAAAAATATTGTCCTGGAGCTGGGCAGTGGTGCACACCTTTAATCCCAGCACTAGGGAGGCAGAGCCAGGCAGATCTCTGTGAGTTCGAGGCCAGCCTGGACTACAGAGTGAGTTCCAGGACAGGCACCAAATCTACACAGAGAAACCCTGTCTCCAAAACAAAACCAAAAAAAAAAAAAAAGTGTCCTGATGGTTACCTGCTTTGGCTCCTGAGGAAAGGCAGGGCCAGAAGAGGCAGCTCTGATGCCAGGCCTTCTTTTTCCTCCTCCTCCCTCAGCAATGAAGATGGTGCCTTTCACTTCTGAGAACCTCTGCACACATGGATCAGAATCAGTGTCTTAGGTCTTTCCAGGAAGGCCTAAGGGGCTACTTTTTGACCTCAAGATGTATTTGTTTTTAGACTTAAATTTTATTGAGACAGGGTGTCACTATGTAGCCCTGGGTCTTCTGGAACTCACTGTGTAAACCAGGCTGGCCTTGAACTCACAGAGATCCACCTGCTTATACCTCCCAAAGTGCTAGGTTTAAAGGCCTGTACCACCACCCTCAGTTTTTAGGTTTTTAAAAAACACGCCTTTAATCCTAGCACTTGGGAAGCATAGGCAGGTGGATCTCTGAGTTCCTGGAGGGGGAGAGGGGGAGGTTAAAGATCATGGGGACTTGGCTCAGTACTTAAGAGTACTAATTACTCTTCCAGAGGATGGTGGGTTTAATTCCCAGCATTCACAGGTGGCTGGTAATAGCCTCTAACTGCAGTTCCAGGGGCTAAGATGCCCTCTTCTGGCCTCTGCAGGCACTGCATACATAGTGCAGAGATATACAGGAAAAAACACCCATAGGCAGAAAAAAGAATTTACAAAATATTAAAACTAATAAAATAGCCGGGCAGTGGTAGTGCACGCCTTTAATCCCAGCACTCAGGAGGCAGAGGCAGGCAGATTTCTGTGAGTTTGAGGCCAGCCTGGTCTACAGAGCGAGATCCAGGAAAGGCACAAAGCTACACAGAGAAACCCTGTCTACAAAAACAACAAAAAAAGGATAAAACTAATAAAAATATAAAATTACCTTTTAGGACGGTTCAGAGGCTAGTTCGTCTCATGTACACATGTGGAGGTCAGAACAATTTGAAGAAGTCAGTTTTCCCTCCACGGTGTAGGTCCCAAGGATCCAACTCGGGTCAGGCAAGCACCTTTATCTACTAAGCCATCTTAGTTGCTCAGGCTTTGTTTTTAAAAACGGTTTTATTATGTGGCTCTAGCTGGCCTGGAACTGGCTGTGTAAACCAAGTTGGCCTTGGAATCCAGGCCTGTCGCTGCCTCCCACGTGCTGGGATTAAAACATGCTCATCTTGAGTTTATGATCCTCTGCCTACACTTGAGTGTTGGGATTGCGGGTGTGCACCATCACACCCAGGTTAGTGCTGGCTGCCCAGTTATGCAGTAACTGAGATCAAATCCAGGGTTTAATGCCTGCTGGGCATTCTGCCAGTGGAGCTGCATCCATAGGCCCTCTGCCCCACAATTTTGAAACAGTGATGTAGCACAATTTGGTCTCACAGTTCTGGTCTTCCTGCCATAGCTTCTTCATGCTAGAATCACAGGTCTGAACCACTGTGTGCATGCTTCAGGGCTTAGATAGAGGCACGCTCTCTGTCCCTGCAGTTCCAGGCTGCTCACATAGTTCTGTAAACGGAGATAGGCTGGATTTCAGCACCCTGGGCTGGAACAGCCTAACCTGTGAACAGCTGAATATCCACGGATTCAGTGTCTCCAGAAACCCTGGCATTGGCATTCACTTCTGCCACCCTATCCAGAAGGCGCTGAATAGTTTACAAAGCACTTCCACATGGGCCACTCAACTCTCATGACCTCGTTAAGGAGATACAGGCCCCATCCTGCTGTCAAGGAATTGCCATCAGGTGTGGTGCACACTGTTAATCCTAGTACTCGTGAGGCAGAGGCAGACAGATCTTTGGGAGTTAGAGGACAGCCTGGTGTCACATAGCAAGTTCCAGGACAGGCAGAGCTACACCACGTCTCTCAAAAGCAGAGAGGAATTGAGGCCAATAGGAGAAAGGATAATGGGGGTGACTCAGTGAGTGAGCAGAGCGGGACTTGCCTCTGATCCCTCCCTTCTCCTCAGGCAGAGTGTGCTTCTTGACCCAGAGAGACACCATCACAGCCCACAGAGCATGGGCACTCACATGATCTTCTGGCCGTCCTCTTCTGCATGGCTGCTGTAGCCTCGGGCCTGGCTTCGGCACCCTGCTATCTCCCCAAACCAGTGCCCGGCCTCGGGGCCTTGGTTGGGGGCTCGGTGCTGGCAGAGAGCCCCAGAGATGCTGCTCTCGTGCCGTGCCAGCGCTGACTCAGCCTCCAGCAGCCTCACCAAGTTGGAATTTGGAGCAGAGGAGCGGAGATGCCACTGGGCTGACTGGGTGGAAGTGGCTGAGTCATGA